TGAGACTTGAACTCATGGTCTCCTGGTTTCTAGCCTGGTGGGTTAACTGGCTCTTACTCATGGTCCCATTACATCATCACTCTTTCCCTCCCTTGTTTTAATAGGATGTAAAACCAATCACAAGATCCTTTGGATTGTTACTGGGCTATATATATTTTAAATAAATAAATGCTTTGAGGAGCAAAAATGAAACTCTGCTATGTTCCAATTGATGTATGGTAGAAATGGTCCATATATTAGAGGATTATTGCTAAAAGAGAACTAGAGAAGATTAGAGTTTACCAATTAAAAGTCTCATAGTCTCACAGTAGGCATCTACAATGTTCCCCTTCCTTTCGCCTTGCAAGCTAAATGAGAAAAAGCTCTATCTCAAAAGTATCTGCCTTCAACCATCTGCAGACTTTACACTTTTAGCAAGTTTGTGATAAGCCAGAGAATGTACTATATCATATCAAGTACATTCAGCCAAGTGTGCTAAGCTTGAGCTAAGCACTGAAATATTATTGTTTGGATTGCAAACAGTTTCCCTGCCCTCCATTTTACTCAGGGAACTGAGCAGATGGCAGACAGTCAACACTGGAAGCCAAGCTTGGACAGTACAGTTGGCAAGTGATACAGTGTCACAAGTGCACTTTGGCTTAAACCAGCCTCTTTCACTGCAAACATTGCATGCTACAAAATGTGCTTGAATCCCGAAGTTGCAAACATCAACCTACATAATTAAGCAACGATGTCAGTGACACTTCTATCCTTTACTCTATCCACAAAGAGCAGAGTTCAAGGTACTGGTGCTTACTTTCAAAGTAAAACATGGCTTGAGTTGAAGTATTTGAGAGAACACCTGTTTCTACATCTGCTTCTTTTGGCTTTGAGGTCATTGCTACTCTGGATATTACTGCCATTTGAACTGAGGCAGGGAACTGCTGGACCAGGGATTCTAAGTGATGGCAATTTATAGAATTGCCTCCCAAGGCATCCATTTTGCTATCTTTATGGCAAAAACACCTTTCTTATTTTCCCATGCTTTTTAATTTACAGATTTTAATTATTTAATTGTCTCAGCAAGTGGGGGTAACTAGCCACTCTCAGCTGATCTTGGGAAAGCTAAGTAGGGTCAAAACTGGTCTGTACTTAAAGGAAACCATTGGGAAATTACAGGGTAGCAAACAAGGTTGGGAAATTGAAACAATATCCTGTATTTTACCAAGCAAATAACATGGGCATATTCACGTAGTCACCAGGACGTCAAGCTTGGCTCAAGAGAGACTTTGAATAACGCTAGATCTATGTTATATTTTTATCATTATTCATTCATTCTTATTATTGTTTTAGGGACACCATTTGATTAAAGGACAGTATATAATGCAGTTTTTATTTCTACATATGTAACTAATCACAGTACTTTCTAATTAACAAGAATTGTATATGAAGAAGTATATGTTTGGTTGAAGTATTCAGCCAAAATGTGACAATATAGCATACAGAAACTTGGAGTAAAGGGGAGGGAGAGAAAAAGATTTTGAACATTCACTTTCAATCTACAACTGAAAAATCAAGTTCTTAATAAAGAGCACAGGTGAAACATACCAAAAAGCTTATATAATCATTGGGCACAGTTTGTTTTCTTGAGCTAGCAGTTGGTGCAGGAGGAAAGCAGTCCTTGCTGGCAGCTGTGAGTGTGATTTCCCACTATTAAATTTATCTGACATACATACCATTGTTTAGAATATTTCTACCATAGATTACATCATGTTAGATACCAGAATGTTGGAGAGCAAAAACAAAGCTAAAATACTAAACCCAAACCATAACAAGCAAATTCTAAGAAGTTCTATGCTATGACATATCCAGAATGGTTTATAGTTAAAAATCTTCTGATCATTTTTGGACATATTTTACTGTGTGAAAGAGGGCTGTTGTTGGTTTTCTTCCTGTTTCCTACTTCCATCCCTGCAGCTGCCTCCTTGGCTGTCCCTACTTCCTGATTTGAAAGAGGCCAATGGGAGAAGTTCCCTCACAATGACTTCCTTTGAAATACAAAAACAATTATTCCTCTCTCTCTTTCTATACCCTTTGTGATGCCAAATAACAAATCCAAATCCATCCATAACAAATCTGTGACACTTTACTTAAGTTCTGAACAGCTAGCTGCTCCCAAATTTGAGACAGCTTAAGTAATTGCCTTGTGTGATCATTTGTACACCAGGCAGCATTACAGTTTTCAAAGAACTGGCTGTGTTAAAACTACTGCAGGAAAAGCAACAATCTTGTAGCACTTATTATGGGATAATTTGTTGTAAAGCATGCAGCACTTCATCAGATGTATTAATATGAGGAAGGAATACATACAACCCTCAGGACTTTGGGGGATTAAGTTTGGACTACAAATTTTGAAAATTTTTAGAAAGATGTGTAATATTTGGATTTTATGGATTTTTTAATATACTATTGTAGGCTGCCTAGAGTCAATCAAGTAGGCGGCATACAAATAATTCAAACAAACAAATAACCATGGCTAGGAGGGAATAATAGAGTCAGAGAGAAATGAAATGCAGAAATTGCAGACAGCAATAGGAACTCCTAGCTCAGCCACAAAACTGGAAAGCCTACATACTGTGTGATAAAACAAATACCCCAGAAAATGAAGGAACCCTTGGAACTCTGCAGAACACTATATGACCGCCTTAAAAGTGGCTATTTTTCAGCAGAATTACAAAGACTGATTTCATTAAAATAGTTAAGCTAAAATTAAAAATATTGGTTCTGTTAATCTGCTGAACTATACATTATCTTATTAATGAATAAGATCACCAGTAAAAGAATGTATATGTGACACCCAACACTTTTTTTCTGAATGACTGCTATCAATATATACCTATAACTTTCTCTGCAGCATGCCATTTCATCTCCCTCTGCCTTCATCATTCCTGCCAATCCTCCAAACTGTGGATAGATATGTGCTCATCTGTCGGTATCATACTTTATTCATTTAATGAAGTGGATAGTAATCAAGAAAAATCATGCTACAATAAAAGTGTTTTTGACTTTTAAGATGTCTTATTTTTAATTTCCTTTTTCAAACAGGAAAAATGATAGGTCACCATCAGCAAATAAAATTATTGGCTGCTTGGCACATAGTTCCTATAAGAAACTTTAAAAAGTAGGACTGGATAAGAAAGATCCAGTAAGATTAATCTTAGGAATCTACTACAAGCTGGGTGGAAGTCTAAAACATAGTTCCTATAAGAAACTTTAAAAAGTAGGACTGGATAAGAAAGATCCAGTAAGATTAATCTTAGGAATCTACTACAAGCTGGGTGGAAGTCTAAAACATAGTTCCTATAAGAAACTTTAAAAAGTAGGACTGGATAAGAAAGATCCAGTAAGATTAATCTTAGGAATCTACTACAAGCTGGGTGGAAGTCTAAAACTGGGCTGTGGAGCAATAGCAAACATGCCAAACTGCACCACCTTTTTCCTGAAGTCTCACCGAACCAGGGAAGGGCTACAGTTAAATCCATACAGATACCTGAACATTTTAACTTAGTAATTAACAGGCAGAAACAGATTGTAAAAATGTGAAAAAAATGTGCCGCTTAAAATTAGATATTTATACAGATCTGGGGCACAAGCTTCCCTAGCTGTGCCCTTAAATGAGCTGTTTGAAACTACAGAATAGCAAAGATACTATCAACAACGCAGGATGTTCTATTCTGCTCATGGCAGCTCATTGGTTTTGTGAGCATCTTCCTGCTATAAAGACTTCCAGTGCCTCTGTGTCAGTGCCACTGTTGTAAGCATATCTACCTATTGCTGTGATATCCCTTCTAGTACATTTACCACCTGTTTTTGTTTGTTTGTTTGCTATTGCTCCACAACTGGATCTTTCTTATCCAGTCCTACTTTTTAAAGTTTCTTATAGGAACTATGTGCCAAGCAGCCAATAATTTTATTTGCTGATGGTGACCTATCATCTTATCAGGAAAAAAAATGCACATTTTTTTGAAGACATACTAGCTGGTAAGATTCAGAAACTCAGTTCAAACCAGACAGAGGACTGTCTGAGTTTGAATAGCAAGACATATAGGTTTGATCCTACAACATATTTACCTGTATTTCTTGAATGTGATATGCTCTGTGCAACACTTTCATTGCGATATTTATCATTAACAAGTGATTGAGAAGGTATTCTAGTTTCCGAATCCAGCAAAATTTGGTTCTCACAGGTGGTAATGCCTGCAAAGTCACTGGGTAAATCACAGTCCTCAAAGTCCGTGGTGAAATGCAATGGAGAATCTTGAGGAGGGACTGAAAATCCACCTTCTAAAACCAAAGGTGATTCAGGAGGAGATAATGATGAAAGGGAAGATCTTGAAGAGAATGATGTAACAGATTTAGAAGGTTCAGTTACTTTGGGTGCATGACTTGCTGCCAAAGAACTGGAAGAGTCACTATATCCCATTTTCTCATGAGAGCTGACCACTTCATTTTCATGAATGGTGGTAATAGGGCCTGAAGGAATATAACCACATTTCTCTTGCAATATGAAATCCAATTTATACTGATAGTCTAAATCGGCAGGTTGATCACCTTGGTTGTAGTAGAGGTCTGTAGAGTTAAGAGAATTCAGTGACCCCCTACTAGATGTGTTCAGGGACCCTCGACTGGATGCTAAGGATCCCAAGCTGCTCCCTGAAGACATAGATAATGTACTGGCAGAGAGGCTGCAACGAAGAAGCAAAGATCTATCATTCTATTCTATCAGCAGTATATTCAAACGATCTCAAATCACAGGTGAAAAACTTAAAATTTAATCCAAAGTTGGTCATGAAATTGGCAAGTACAATGATATCTTTTAAAAGGAACACATTTCACAATTTCTGAAGTAAATATCACCCCCCCAAAATTTCAGATGACACACTATTAACTATTGTAGCAACATGACCTTCTTAGATGGCTCCTTTTTTAAAACAAACAAACAAACAAACAAACATGGCTGAAAAATTGCAAGCCAAATTCAGTCACTTTAATTATAATTATCTTTTTTAATGCCTGATTTTTAAAGATGTTAATTTTTTATGCCTGCAATACTGCACAAAATTGTGTGACAGCATCCATCACCTCAAAATATTGCTGACCACTGTAAGAGTTTCATGAAGACATATTAGAAAGTACAGTTAGAACAATTAGAAAATATTTTTGTATTTAGCAGTATATAATATATAACTTACTTAATTGGACTATTATATATGATAAAGGTTCAGCATTTCTTTTAGATCACTGTTTGAGATACCCTCTTCTTCCCATTCTGGTATTTTCTACTCCAATGATGGGGTATAGAATATGATATATATATATAAAAAACTAATAAAATATAATATTTTATTAGTTTTTAACAAACAATATCGGGTAACTACATTAACATAAATCCAAGGTAGGGAAGAAAGAGAAAAAAGTAAAAAAAGAAAAGTATATAGAATACAAAAGAGATCTATATAACCAAATTATAATCTATTGGTATTGAGATAAACCATAAAATCAATCCAAATTTGATAGAATTGTGGTTCCTGCCTCTGATGTCTCATTAATTTAACTTTATCTGTGATTTTTTTCTAATGTAGCAATTGAAGAGGCCTTGTTAATCCACAGCTCAATTGCTATGTTATCCAGAGTTTTCCAGTGTTGCACAATTATTATTTTGGCTGCTAAGATTAAATAAATAATAAGTTCTTTATTTTTAAGCTTATGGTTGGTCCTGTAAATAAATGCAGTAAGCTTAGCTCTGGGGAACAAATAATATATAATACCTGAAGAGAAAGCAAAACAAAAGGATTGTCACATAACATGGGCATTTCTGAGTTTAAGAAATATTGCTTTCTTTTCTGGTTATTAATCATACTAAAATGCTCTCTCAATAAATGGAATCACATTAGTGCCGTGCTGCCCTTAAAGAAAGATGGTACTGTGAAATCAATAAAAAGAACATTAATAGAAGCTATTCCTTAGAGATTGTCATTTGCATCTGTGCACAGATGTGTTGAGAAAATGAGCATTTGCACCAAGTTACAGTTTATTTATATTCATGAATTATATCCTCCCTTTTTGCCTAAATGGTTTATATCCTTCCTTTTTTCCTATATGGCACTGTACAATAATACATGTGTATATAAAGTATTTTAAAACAAGTACTTAAAATATAAAAACACTGTTTCACAACTATATTGTTGTGACAACACTTCTATATGCAAAATTGGAAGCTGCTCACACTAGAAACAGCCAACCTATCTGTTTCACTGTTTCCCACCCATGTAGCCTGAATATTTTGGGAAAGGGCTATAACACGTATGTTCTGTCTTTGCTGGGCAAAAGTTTGCAGTTCACGATTCAGACAAGAGATAGCCAGACTTTTAATATGAAGCCATCTTTATAAGACAAGCTTCCAAGTTAATATCCCACCTAAATCAAAATAGCACAATTCAGAAATACAGTATGTTGACAGCATCACTTATCAAAAATCTACAGTGTAAACAAAATAGTCTCACCTTTTAAGTTGGGAATGTAAATGAGTGGTTAGGTGACTAGTTTCTTCAAGTTTTTTAACTAATTTATTCTTTTTGTCTTCTAATTTCAACCTAGAAGATAAAAGAGTTTGTGTGTCACTATATATATGCACATATACAATGCAGACAGAATATAGCTTTAAATGCACAATGACAAACAGCTGAGGGCACCTTCTCAAGTTCAACCAAACAGCAAGTCAAATGGAAATTTTCAGGGCAACCGAAGGATTATGGTACAGCTTTGCACTATACCATTACAAATAATGTCTAATTAGAGTTAGTTAATTGGCAATAAAATGTTCTCTTTTTTTGAGTCTGAAAATCTTTCAAAATATTTTCATTTTGTTCTCTTTCTCAGACTGGCCATGTGATGAAATTATTCTGGAAATACATTGGCCCTGGCTAATAGTTGGGGATATAATTTTTCTCAGACTGGTCAAAACTAACTGCTCAAATGAAAGTTAAATGTGAAGAGTCATCTATTTAGTCAGTGTTGGATTGTTGCAATCCATTAGCTAATATTTTAAAGGTATCCTATTTTAAAGGTATTCTACATCTACTATGCTTGTGTCTTAGGCAAAAAGTTCCATAGTCTGTAATTATGCTCTTATTTATCATAGGGGAGTTGGTAAGGCTACTAATTTAATCTGCAATATTTTGAAAGCGTAAGCTATTTCAAGTGTCAGGCTGCCTGGCCTAGATACAGTCAATTCTTGAGCACCACACTATCAAAGGTTTTGCCCTTGACTTCACATGCACTCCTATCTGTTAGTTTCTGTTTCAGCATCTCTCTAGCTCAGTTATATCCCATTCCCATTAGGAACTGGATAGAAAGCTCCCATTTGGATACTGTCCAAGGAACAACAAAAGAATCCACCAACATTAGTGAGGTGAGACTATGAGGTGAGAGATTCAGCTTCCCACAAAAATTATGATATATAACTGCATCCAGGTCTTTGTTTCAAACTTTATTAAGCCAGCTTCTAATTGCAATACTGCACTGAGACACACCACCCACTTGGAATACTTTGCTCAGAAACTTGGACCTAATACTCTCAGATACAGGTGTCTTATTTCCTAACTCCAGCTGCACTGAATAAAGAAGTGCAGCCTGGCTATAAAAAGCTTAGTGGCAGCCCTTGAATGAAAAAAAGACAAAAGGCTGTCATGCTTCTTTGAGCCTTCTGCCCACATAAAAAGAGAGCCTTCCAATTTCCAGTTGAAGTGAATATAATCCCTGAATAATTAAAATATGGTACTTGCTCAAGTCTCTACCCATTAATAATCCAGTTCAGGCTTTGGGGTCTTTTTGCAAACACCATGATCTTTGTTTTGTTGCAGTTCAACCACAGTTGATGCTGGTATTCCCTACAGAAGAGGGGCATGGATTGAAATGTCCTATTTAGTCCTATACATGATAGTGATACAATCACTGCATCATCTGCATATAATAGTACATGTGCCTACTTGCAATATCTGGTGGATGAAATTCTGGTTTTGATAAATAATTGACCATGGAATTTATGTAAAAATTAAATAATAATGGGAGGAGGAGGATAGCAGCAACAACATTTCCCCATTTCCTTTCAGCAAAGCCACAGTAGGAGTCTGGAAGCTCTTGTTTTCATTTTATATGAACAATACCTTTTTTACTTCCACATATGAGCAAACCAGAGACTGACCTGAACAATATAATTAGTAAAATTTGAAGTGATATTTTCTCATATAAAGTATCTTAGTAGTATTTATGGATTTCTGTCAGTCTTCCCAGGTAGACCAGACAGGAAACACAACCAGATGAGCTAATTCTCCTTTATTGTAAGGCTACATTAACAGAAATTTGCAAATCTTGGACTGTCTGTTTCACCGCCTGAGGAGTTAGGGAGGTTCCTTTCTGAGTCTCTTTCTCTGCCCATTATGCAGCTGCAGCCTATGCCCTCTCGTATCTGATTGTTCCTTAGGAAGCATCTCTTCCCCCTGTCTCCCAAGATCATTCCCACATACCATTACAATTTCAGAGAAGCAAACATTGCTAAGGTCTGAAGCACTCTTCTGAAAAGGAAGAGATTTCATTCTGTACTTAAATTTATCAAGGACTTTTAACTTTCCATTATGATGTCTATATCACAAAAGCAGCTTGCAAACAATTGAGGTGCTAGGTCGACAATAGTTGCCAAATGAAGTAATACTCAAGGCTGAACTGAATATGACTGAAGGTACAATTTGTCTGAAAGGGAGTGAAGAAATAGAAAGGGAGGATGTATCTACATATGTAGAGAGTATTTAGATTAAAAGATGTTGTGAGTGTTTACTAATGCCCATCCAGCCAAGAGACGATGAAGATGCTACTTTTTAAAGCAAACTGCAATTTTTCAGAGAGACATGGAATTGTAGAGATGGAAGACTTCATTACACCAACAACATTGGGAAAGAAAGTTTGCCATACATGCTGTTTTTGAAAAATTCTTACCCTATTCTGCTGACAACTTTCTTCTTCAAAGAGTGTAGGAAAGCACAAAAGGATCAACTATCCTTTCCCTTATATTAAATAATATGGAAGACTTAATCAAGGAAGTAAAAGTAGCACTAACAATGAGGGAAAATGAATGTTTAATTCAAAAATTTCACTCAATGGCCAATAATCAAATATAGTTCCATTATAAAAAGATCTAGTATTTGAGAAAAAGAGCAATTGAAACCAAATGTTACCTTAGGACTCTTAACCCTGTTCGCATATTGCTGATTCTATGACAGTTGGTTTTGTGTTCTTCAGCCTTATTAAATTTGGCTTTCCAAGCATAAATGAAACATTACCCCAAGGAGAAAATGAACAGAGATGGGTGGGAGGGGCATTCATCTTTGCTTTTGTGGATTTTTAAAATTTCCCTTTAAAAAATGCAGTTAGAATGTAGTTTAATGTGTTTTAAGCAAAATCATTTCATCTGTCTTTCTTTCCACCTCTTCTATGTGGCTTTCTTTCACTTTCAGTTCTTCACTAAATCATGAAAAGAAACCAACATGTGTGGCCATGTTGGTTTCTTTTGTATTTTCTGTTGTTTTCCTCATTGGAATTATTTGATATTATATGTTTTCTGTAGTGTATCCTTTTTCAGGAACTCCGTCTATCTTCAGATCCTTTTCCTATGAATGTCTCCTACAGTAGATACTTTTTATTGCTCAAGTGTATTAAAATCTGTGTTTTTGAAGTCCAAGGTACATCTTTGACTACACTTAGCTTTAGTTTCCTAACAATCAGGATTTTTGAACTCAATGTGACTATGGAGGACAACACTGGAAGTCAACTCAAGACAGCTTGCACAAGTAGCCATCAGGTGTGGCATATACCAAGGTGATGCACTGTCCCTGCTGCTGTTCTGCGTAGGCTCGACACTTTCAGCCAGATAATCACAAGGACTAGATACTGATATAAGTTCAAGAGTGGAACTACCATCAACCACCTTCTCTACATGGATGAAATCAAGCTGTATGCTATGAGTGAATAAGACATTGACTCACTGATCTACCTGATATGGATCTACAGTGAGGACACTGGGATGTCATTTGGACTGCAGAAGTGTGGCCAGATGGTAGTAAAGAGAGGGTAGTGTCAGGTTCAGCCCAAGAAACTCGAGACACTTCTGGAATTGCTCTGTTCTTTATTAGCTTGCACCTGCTAGACAGAATCTTGACAGACTAACTCTAACTCCCAAAGTCTGCAACCAAACACTACGAATTCCTTAGGGTGCTGCCAGTCTCATCCTCTTTGTTTTCACACACTCCTCCTGTGGGCTGAGGAGATGCTTCTCCCCATGGACTTGACTCTCCTCACGCACATCCTCCACCACAGGTAGGTAGTTAAGACTGATGGGGTGCAACTACCAGCGGGCAAGATAGCAGACATACAGACCATCTACAAGTACCTTGGTATCCCACAGTCCCATGGGAACCATGTTGAGGAGGCAAGGAAGGCAGCAACATCCAAGTACCACCAAAGGATAAGACATGTCCTGAAGAACCAACTCGGTGGGAAGAACAAGATCCATGCTGTCAACACATACACCCTACCAGTCATCAGATACCCTGTTGGTATAGTGAGCTGGTCAAAGGAGGACATGGAGGCTGCCTATGTGAAGATCTGAAAGCTCCTCATAATATATGGAAGTTTCTACCCCACGTCCAATATCCAGAGACACTGTACACCAGCTGGAAAGAGGGTGGGTGGGGTCTGGTGAGTTTCAAAGCCACTGCCTGGACGAAATCCAGAGCATCCAGGAGTACACCAATAAAATGGCACCCAAAGATGAGCTGCTGAGAGAATGCCTGAGGCAGCAGCAGGCATGGGAGGAACTTCAAGCAGAGGAAGTGCCATGGCAAGACAAGACCCTGCATGGGATGTACCATCGACAGATACCTGAGGTGTCTGACAATGGGAAATCCTACCAGAGACTGGAAAGGGTTGGACTAAAAGACAGCACTGAGGCACTGATCATAGCAGCACAAGAACAGGCACTAAACACCAGATCCATAGAAG